TGAAGAAAACATGGGAGCATATGTACAAACAAGCTAATGCATTCAAGTGGAGTTGTGGTGTACGCAAAGATTGACTGAATCACTAGTGTGAATTTATGCGGTGAGGACGGAGCGGAGCATAAGTGGGGTTCGGGAATGAGGAGTCACGCATTTTCATATATATATATGTATACTTTGATAATATGAATAATAATAATAATAATAATAATAATCAGAATAAGGGTAATGAATTATGCCTGGAAGTGGATAGGTGGAACGAGAAAATGTTCGACTCAATCATAGATACATTCGTTGTGCCATTTCGGACATTCGACCAGGAATGTGAACCATATGTTCCATGTAGGCAGCCAGTTCGTTTACTGAGATATCGGAAGTCAACTGTGATCGTCCAGCCCCTCCATTTGTCGTGTCACTACTCCCCTCCAACAATGGCAAATTTTGTTGAAGCGATTGCATCGATGTTCCATCGTCACTCTGTAGGATGGCAACTACGGATTGTGTTTGTCTATCGACAGTTGATGCAGAAGGCTCTTTCATTCCGCTCCATGATAGAGATGAGTCCTCGGGACAGATATTCACTTGTTTCGATCCGGGATTGGACGAAGTGGATCCGATCGAATCACCGCAAGGTTTTGTGGACAAATGAAAAGGACCGGGGACGAGAGTAGTGGACGAGACTGCCGAGGATGGTGGTTGACTGGCCTCAGGAAACTGTGAAGATAACACCGACGGACGAAAACTGAACGACCTTAATGAACAATCCATCTTGTGAGATGGTTCGGACAAGCTGCCTTGTTCTTGATGCTGCTGCGCCTGGAGTCGCGGAGGGTGCAAACTGGAAACCGGATTTGTTCTAACTCCCGTATATTCAATTCCGTCACGAAACACCGTGGAATGAGGATTGGCCAACAGCGGGTCGCGATAGTAAGTGCTCGGGTCTTCCGTACTTACGCGGCTTACATTTCTTTGTGTTGAGCAGAAATTCCAATGGGATCTGGGGTAATGGGCAAAAATTAAACCAGGTATTGTTGGCTAACGTAACTGCATATGGTAACTGTAATCAACTCCAACACGCATGTACAATAAGCCTCTCACGCAGCACGGTGTGGGAATTGCCCAGGAGGTTGGGGTGGTTACATAATCGTGCAAAACATTCATAAAACGAAATGCACTTCGAGAGTTCTTATAGAGAATACAAATTACAGTTGAAATAAGACTAAATAAATTGCGTAGTAAACATCAACTAAGCTCCCTAGAATTCAGTTTTTCAAAAATAAGGTCTGATGTCCGGTCGCCAACTAATTAATCGAACTTTTGAACCGTGGGGCTGAGTACAATCTGAAGTTATGAATGATCAAGTGGCAGCGACGGATGCGAGTGTGCTTGCACGCCAAACCGACGGGTTGAGTTCGTATTGGAAAGCCCGGATTTCTCGTCGGACGGAGATGCTGTGTGAAGAGATTATGAACTCCCCGATAGCCTCGACTTCTATTTTTGTATATCCAAAAAAGATGAGCGGCATTTTCTAAGGTATGACATCATCGGTGAGGCGTAGGAAACTCAGTTCACCTGTCACACGCATTGTATCATGCTGAGATACGCATTCGGAATCCGATACAACAACAATAAGATCAGGCTAATCAAATACGCCGAGGCACTAGTCGTTTAATATTGCCATCTTTACTGTGTAAACAGAGTGAAAAACTCATCAGTCTTGTGTTACCTTGGCAACAAATGTGTTCGGTGAGTGATTTTGACCGCAATCTTTCTCGGCCTATAATTCTGCACTTTCTGACCATGAATAAACGATCTCTTAAACTGCCGTACGCAGGATGTGTATTTTGTATTTCGCACACGTCTGAGTCCAGACTGTTTATTAAACAAATCACGGCACAATAATCCTTATAAAAAGAAAAACGTTCCATGACCCGGGATACATTATGTGAACCTGCGTTGTTGGCTTCCCTATTCAAACAGATGTATTTGCAACGTGAAAGGCCTGAATAACTAGTTTTACAATCACTGTCCCTCATCGTATTTGGTAAATTGATGAGTATCCTCATTTGATACTGTAACAGTATTAACAACAGTGCTTTAGTCCGGATGGAAATTGCCTGATTGTAACTCCTGTCTGGAGCGATGCACGGACAAAAATGAATAACAGAGAGAGCCTGTGAAAGCCCCTATATGGAACAGACAGCAACGCAAATATATATCCACTGAATACGTGCGTTTGTGTGCGTGTCTAAGGGAAACAAGAAAATAATCAAAAACCATTGCGAAGGGACACAATAAAGCCTTAAAACTCCCCCTCCCCACCCCCGGAGAGCACCATTTTGACATGAAGATGAGCTTTTATATCCGCCAACGTGTCAGATAAACGCCATGGATCAAGCACGTGCATGTTCTACCAGTGGACTATCTCGTACAACACCTGCTGCCAATGGATATGTTAACGGTGCACAGGGTGGATGGAAAGAACTTCCTGAAAGGAACTAATGGATGGAGAAAACCAGTATCGAAACATCAAGCTGACGAAACAGACATCGGGCAGAAAAATACTCTTCGATGCAGGTTATCGTTTATGAATTACTTACATAAATGCAACAAAAACTACATGTCCGTGTGCAGAGTACGAAAGGTATGGGACAATAAATTATGCATGGAACACTTACCTTTGATCGTCTGTTTGTAACGAGCGTGTCAGAAATGAGCGATGAGCATTAGATCCAACGCCCAGTTGTCCCGTTTGAAGGTCACATGCAGGTCGAGAATAAGACAGTGGCTGTGTGTCACCCCGATTAGTGATTTGGTTCACTCGCGGAGGGTCGTCAGTCGTGCATATGCGCATTGTTTTGACCAACTGCCACTGCTCCGGATCGGAATTACGACGGCACCGTGTGATAATACTGCTACTCGAAGCGCATTCGGAGCCACAAAGATCACCGGTCTCGAAGCTGGTGGGTTGGGAAGACAAAAAGGAAGAGTTCGTCAAAGCCTGGACCCCCAGAACGTCTGATTGGGGAAAAGATCGACGATTGTCCGGACCGGTGGGAAGACAATGTCTGTCTGGCGCTGCAGAATTACAGCCAAAACGATAGATGCTGGATGTATTAGGGCATCGGGGTATTTGTGAAACATCAAACGTGGCCGGATTAGAATTCGAAGGAAAGTCTGGGATAGATCGATCGCAGTTCACGGGGGTTAAATCAGATTGAAGCATTGGATCACGAAGGACCAGTGAGGCACTAGGCAAATCGGGAAGGGTAGGTGGCGCCTCAGCCCTCGGATTGTATTGGGATGATACAGATCCCGGGGTTGTATGCCGATGTCGAAGAGACAAGNAGAGACAAGGAATGACGATGCAATGTACATTTTCCTGCAGCCGAAATTGAACATTGAACTGACGAGCGGTGAGAGCAACGCAACAATCTAGATGCGTTGTACCAACTCACACACGGATGGTCGATAAGGCTGTACAACCTCCGATAGAGACGCAGGTGAGTTAACGGCGGAAGATGAACCAGACCACTGTGAACGCAACAGTGATGCCTGTCGCTATTCGAAGTTGTTGCGCTGCCAAAACTACTTCGACTTTGAGTCGTGGATGTTGTACCTTGCCCACACATTACCGGATCAAAGTCAAGGTGACTTAGTCCAGCACCACAAGAGCGTCGCAACTTGTCAGACTGAAGTACATGTTGTGAGTGCGACAAATCTGGATGACGACCATGTCGAAATTCTAGATTAGTGGGAAGTGTGCTATACAGAAGACCGGCGGATGTGGTGAAACCCGAACCAGCTGACACTGCAGCCGAATTCACCGCCGGGATTGGGGATAAACCACCGGCCAGTTGAGTCGAGCCACGGCAGCTGAGACGTGAACACATGGGACATTCCACGACGTCGATAGGATCGGCACGTGTTTGATGGTGTCCCATTGCACAGCAGCAATCACAGGGGTAATTACTAAATGCGCCATAATGATGAATGCCAGCCGAGTTGGAAGATGCCGATCGGGTCAGGCGACACCGAAGTGTCTGTTCTAATGAGGAACTACCCAGAAAAGCAAGGGAACCGGTTGGTCTTCCACCGCGAAAGGAAAGACGAGAACGACGATCCGCACTAAAACACAAAAGGAGACAGGAGAACTTTGAACCGAACACCTGGGGACAAGTTTATATGAACGAATTCAAACAAATCGAACTTTATCTATGATAAAAACAATTTCCATGCGTGAACGTTTACCAAGACAAAGAAAACAAGCTGATATTCAAGAAACAGAATGTATATTGAACAGACAAGATAAAATACAGGGTAAACTACATTGTATCTATCGTCGCTGATTTGGGCCCACTTGTCCTATTCATCTTTTGACATTTCAGCACTCTGTTATTGCATTTTCCACAGTTCCATTTTCCATCTCAGCTCATGAAATACAATCATTAGACTTCTCTCTCACGAACCTATTTGTCGCTGTGCGGCATAACGGCCCAATTTGTTTGTCTAATAATGGATTGTTACTTTCGACCACACAAATGAGACGTCGATGTGAACACCTCTGGCGCCTCGAAAAATCGACCCTACTAGTTACACACCTTTAAACGTGTTCATCCGGACGACACAGACAACATAGGTATACTCATTAACTTCCTGTCACCTTCCATCTACGAACACATCTGCGAATGCAAGAAGTTTGGCAACACACTGCCCCCCCCCCTCGACTTGCTGTCCAAAAAACAGTCTTCGCCCGATACATCATCCTTTCTAGTTGCAAGAAAGATTCCGGACGAGGTTGTACTTCTCAGGCCGTTTCAACCGAAGAACACTATGATAATGCTACGTATGACGCACTCATAACTGGGCACCTGTCTATCATCATCCGTACGAAAACAACCATCATTAACTTTCCAGTCTGCTTACGATACCGCAAGGCCTCTAACAGTCGCCTCAAAGCAGTCGCGGTCATACGCGTCGATTAACCCAATTCCTCAGACCAACCCAGAACGCGTTTTAGCAGCGGCTTCCAAAGAAGCGGTATTTTTGTGGCTATTCAAAACACCTCAGTACAAAGTACCCAGCTAAGGACACTGTTCTCCAAGCTTGTGGAAAAACGTGACACATCAAACGCGTCTGTAAATCCGAACCAACCCATTGATCCATCTACTACATCCACCCTTAATCCTTTATAGTCTTCCACCTGAACTGCCGTCGCTCCCACCCGTTTGTCCTGCAACATTACCTCTATTGTTGTTACTGGTGTTAAACCTCGAGTACTGAAAGACACTGGTAGCCCTGATTGCTACGTTTCTCTTTCCGTTGTCAATTCCTGCGGTTGGAAACGGTATCTTTGTGACGCCAAAATTAAGGTGGCTCCTACCTTTTCCTCTTGCATTATGACTGGGTCTTGTAACGCCACTATTCAATACCTCAACAATTCCGTAAAAAGTCCAACTCTTTGGTTATCCTCATCTCCCTGCCGATGAGGCCCAACCGGTTCGAAACAGCTGTGAGATACTTCAGTTCACGCTTCATTTGTTTCATAAATGGCGAATTCCTTCTTTGAAAAACAATAATAATCAGATGTCAGTCTCCGAAAGCCTCAGTATAGTCGGAGGTGGGTGTCTAGGGTTGCGGCTGGTCACCCTTCCCTTGCACCTCACAAACTACTCCCACAAAGCCAAGCGTCTCGAATTGCCTCTGCTTAAGAAGCCCTACATACTGCCTTTTGAAAAGCTTAGTACCAAATTTCAAGGGCTATTAACCTCGACATTTTGCAACTGGCCCATGCGGACATGTACACATAGACCGATAAACCGAGATTTCATTCGAATTTGACTGCCCAGATATACACTCTCCTACCGTTATAAACTGCTTCTGTCAATCGTTTTCGGTCTTCGACATACTTGTACATGTTGAACCGGGACCGGAGCCCATTCTTCTTGCTGTCTGAAGAATAGACCTTCGATTGAGATAGAGTAGCAGTCAGTCATACCACCACATGCAATCCGCAAGACAATGGTCAGGTTGAACAAGGGTGAACGGTACCCTTTGAAAGGCTATTTCTCTGTGTTCCGAAAAGAAGGGTCTAACAATCTGCCAGTTGAAGTCGGTAATTCCAGACGTAATCCACTCAATAAGTTCGCTTGTGTGCACTGCCACTTCACAAGTGACTAATTTATTTCACTCAACGTTCCAACGGTACATCGCTTCTAACCTGTCCCTGGTCCCCAACACCTTAAACGCATGGACCGTCCATCGAATCTGAATCCATCTGTGTGGAAGTTGATTCTATCCACAGCGATCCGAACTATATCGCGGTAAAACTTCGAAGTGGTAGAACAGAGAATGTTTCCACTCATCCTTTGGCCTCGCAGGGGGTTCCACCAATACCGGTGTAACTGAAGCACCAGCACCAGCAGAATCGTCTCCCGCATCGCCTCGCATCGCATCGTTCCCCGACGGAGTTCAATCCTTCACCATAATCTGTAACAGTTTTTAGTTTAAACAACCCTTAACCATGCGTTTTCGTGCAGCGGGTTTCGTTGCAGTCTTTCGGCAGTCCGGAATCACCTAAATCCGACGAAGAATGTCCCCCTTCAAAGAGAATATCTACACAGAACACGGTCTGACATATTCACACAACGATAGAGGACGCTCCTTTAGAATAAAGGAAATAGAGAAGAGTAATGTACTATATTTTACCGTTCAGCGACCTTCCCATTACAAACGCACCTCGAGATGTTTCATTCTCCTCGAACGATCGTTTTCTTACACGGGGTGAACGTTGTATTTCTGTTTGAATTCTTTCTGACTGAATTCTCTTTAGAGTTCCATTTTCCATATCAGCAAGGATACTGTAATTATTCCACGCGTAAAGCTTACTGTTCTAACAATGAACCAGTTTTTTGCTGTACAGCATTTTAATACCTGTTTGAAAGCGGTCATGAGGTTGGTCTAACCGAAGGGTGTTTTCTCGCTCTGGTTGCACCAGTGCGGTCCGCATCGCTAACGAATACTGAAAACCTAGGTTAAGCAAATCCTGTACGTCCAAAAAAGTGGGACTTCTTCCCACAGCCTGCCTAAATTTTCACTAATTGTTGCTCACATAGATTAACGTTAGGCTTCCTGGATTGGAACCTAAGGATCTATGTCATCAATGGTTAGAGACACTAGGTGATCTAGTTGAGGATCGTAAACAGAGGGGATCATGCATCTTTACAATTTCTTCGCAACCTAAGACAATGCTTTCAACTTTCTTATCATTCTTCTACACCTTCATCCAAATAGGCAGTCGTGAGATAGCACACAAAACCACCGAACGAACTTGCATTGTTAATGGTTGTTCAAACTGAAACTGCATTCGCTTTCATTGCGCTACGAACATCGTAACTGTTGTTCGTTGTTGTCTTGTTGGTTGTTCTCTGTGTGTTACATACTTGTAGCCGACCAGAGTATACGAAAGAATTTTCTCTTACATTAGACGTCCTCTAACATGCCCCTTGACGTTTGTCACGAAGTATCAGTGATCTATCAGTATAAACCGTTTGATTAAGATTGCACATTTATTTAAACAGAGCAGAGCGAAAAATGGACTCACATTTTAAGGTGTTTCAACGCATCGATCAAGTCATCTGGTTTTTGACGCTTGACTCGCATGCTAGGGCAAGCGCTATTACAGTGCGCAACGAAGGCGCCAAGTTACGCCCAGGAATGTGCAAATTGATATTCGAATTCAATCAAAGCTGGGCTGAAGAGCGAGAGAGCGAATATTAAGGTAAAGAATAGGTTTAGGAAAATCTTAATTAATCGCATAGTACAGTTACCAACAGGAAGATCAACACAGTAAAGCTTACTAAAAGAACACAAACATGACCACGACAACCAATGCCTCGCTGCAAACCGCAGCAGCGTTTGAAGATGAGCAACTACGTGGAGTTGGGTTTGATGAAATTTTACTTACTCCCCTTGTGACAAGAATGAGCGGTCTAGGGTTGTAAAGAAGCTGAGAAGATGCAAGAACGCCGCTGATTACGACACTCAGCCATAACACTCAGTGTCTCTAACCAGTGGTCACGATCATCCCGAGGTCCCCAACCAGGGAGCTGAACGGGACCTATGTGACACAGTGTCCTGCTTAGGGTTTTCATACCCTCATGTTAGGTCTTAGCTTGACCACCTTTGACTTTCTTCCACCCACATCTGCCTCGGCGAACAGCCTTCTGCGTGGCACATGCCCCAAACAACTTAATCTATGGAGGTCGACCACTCGCTCCAGTGGGCGACCGCAGATTCCCAAAACTCTGAGCCTAACTTCAGCATTGCTCATCCGGCTGCCTCACCAGTTTAGTGCAATGCTGCGTGTTCAATGTTGTGTTCAAACACCGATAGTCTATCTTTATCCTGTTTTCTTAATGGCCGAGTTTCTGTGCAGTATTGTAGAACTGTCCGAACTGCTGCAGCATACACTAGACCCTTCACAGACAACCGGATGTCGCGACGGCACCACAGATGTCTCAAGTTAGCAAATGCCAACCAAGCCTTCTGTATGCGAGCTGACACTTCATCCATGATGCCTCCACCGGGTGAGATGTAGCTGCCCAGATAAAACTTAACCACTTGCTCTATTACATCCCCAGTTAGAGTGAGTCTGGGTGCTGGACCAACCCAGTCTTGTAGTAGTATTTTGCACTTTGAAGGTGCAAAACGCATACCGCACATGGCGGTGCTGGGGCTCAAGCTATCCAGAAAAGCTTGTAACTTACCTGGATTTTCACTTAGTAACACAATGTCGTCTGCGTACTCTAGATCAGACAGCCTGCCACCTGGAAGTAAATCGATGCCACTATCCTCGCACGAGGNGATATGGCTGTTTCTATAATCAAATCTATAACAAAGTTAAATAGAAACGGAGAGAGAGAGGGTAGTCCTGACGAACACCACTTTCCGTGGCGAACTCGGGTGAAAAAGTGCCGTAAGCCCGGACTTGACTTCTGCAATTAGTATAAAGCGATCGCAATATTGGAATTAACTTCTCGGGCATATCCTACAGGGAAAGGCAGCACCAGAATTTAGATCGGTCGACTGAGTCGAAAGCCACTTTCAAATCGAGAAAAATAGAGATGACGGGCCTACGAAAAGAATGTCGATGCTTCAAAATTTGGTGAAGAGTGAAGATGTGGCCGAGACAACGTCAACTAGGTCTAAAACCAGCCTGGTTCTTACGCGTGCACTCTTTACGTACGGCAGACAATCGACGGAGTATAATACCAGCGAGAAGTTTAGAGATGATGTTGACTAAACTAATTCGCAGCGGTCAGTGAAGTTCGCTTCACTGTATTCCACTGTACGATGATGAAACTAATTGCTCTGTGGTTTTCACAGGAGGATCTGTCACCTTTCAGGTAAATCGGTATGATCACCTATTCACACCGTTCAGCTGGAACCTTTTCCCTTTCCCACATTGAGCCCAGGAGTTTCGTCAACTCCAACAATAACGCTGAGTCTCCATCCTTAAACGCCGATGGAAACAGTCCATATGGGCCGGAGGCCTTATGCCTTTTGAGATAACTCACTTCCCGAGAAACCACCATTTCAGATAGAGGACTGACATCAACTGGGAGTACTTGCCCAGTCGAAATGGAGCGTGATAAGTTAGATGTCGATAGAGGCCATTTGAACTGGGCCTTGAAGTGTTCAACCCATTGATCAAGACGGCGTTGCTGATCGTGAATCAGTGTGCCATCGGATTCCTTAATTACCTCGCTTACACCTATTTTCCTAGGGCCCGTATTCCTAATTGGACGGAAAAGATAGCGACTATTACCAATAGCCGCAGCTTTCTCCATCTCTCTAAACTTTTCTACCCATTAATTCTCGCGGTCATTCCTCAGACTCCTGATGAGCTGGCGTTTGAGGGATTTGCGCGCTGTCATATGTGGCATCAGGAGGGAGGGTTCTGCGGCCGTCCAGTAGGGCGGCCGAGGTCGACGAGATCCATCGTCTGTATTTTGAGCAGGGTCCGATGTTGCTTCTATCGATATTTGACTAGCTTCCTTGATTTGCTTCCAATGTTCATTGAGTCTTTCGGCTGGTGGCTGAACTGACAGGTGATCGGAGTTTCACTTCCAAAGCTGATTTGCAGCAATCGCTGACATTGTATCGTGTTCATCCGTTTTCGGTGGCTTTCTTTCGGTTGTTTGCCAGGCGTAAGGAGAACTTGGCTCGTAACAAGGCGTGGTCTGTGTCCCACAGCTGTTAACCAGTAAGAACGACAGTCTTGAATTGATCCCCTCCAACAGTAACTGATGGCGATGTGGTCGATTTGGGTCCAGCGCTGTGAAGCGGTTGGCGGTCTCCATGTAAGGCGGCGTTGTCTCTTGTGCGAAAAGTTCGTGCTTGAAAGGGATAGTCCTTGTTCCCCCAGAGTTGAAGTAGGCGGTCTCCGTTGTCCTCCCGGCTGGCTGGGATTGCGCGCGGTCCACCAAGAAGCCTTTCTAATTCATCCAGGGATCCCACTTGAGCAATGAAGTCCCCGGGGACTACTAAGATGTCTGTTGATCGAACACTTTGGAGTAATTGAGAAAGGCCATCACGACAGGACTGCACCCCATCACGACGAGACTGCACCTTGATATGGTGTGATGACTTGTGTACCTCTCGGACCCAACGAGCTACACGGGATGATTTTTATCAAGCCGAAGATCTAATCATGTCTGGAAGGTCGAAGCGTAGGGGTCGGACGAAGTCCAGTATCCTGGTCCGCCAGGTTGAGGGTTCGACTAGAACCGGCGTCTCAGTCGGCAAAAAATGGTGAAGGAGTAATTGATCCAAATAAATGGGCCTCCACTCCGCTTCACCCGCTGCCTTGCTGGTAGGTTCTTGTCAAAACTAAAGGCTTTGGTTGAGAACCCTAATCGTTTTCCTGCTTAGTGGCTGGACACCCTAGCAGTACCCGTCCATCAAACCCCAATGCATATGCATTGCGAGTTTGACAGCGATCGGTGAAGTTCGCTTCCTTGCACTTCGCTGTACGATGATGATGATGATGTCCTTGTAGAACTCATCCTTGATTTCAGGTGTACTGCAATCCGTCGGTGCAAACGCCGATGTGACGAACCTGAATCGACGGTTCGTTCTGTAGCTGTTGACCCGTGCTGAACCTTTGAGACGGACAGCGCACAGTCGGCTACTGACTGGAATCCAGTCAAGAAGCGAGTGCTCAGCCTTGACACTTAGCGCAATCTCAACACCAGTGACACCCCGAGCTTCGGATGCCGAATCGCCTAACACACGCAGAGTGAAGCGTGAGGATGAAGCTGGATTTGGAGAACGGAGGGAGATGATTGAAGAAGGGTCTTGCATGCGTGTTTCGGAAACAGCAGACATCTAAATGGAAGGTTTCAAGGGTTCTAGCCAAAGCAGCTTGTTGATCGATCTGGTATAGTGGGTGGACATTGAGTGCAGCTAAGTGAAAAGGGGATTTTGGTTTCAAAAATCTGATCTGAGTGGTTGACCCTATTAATTGAACACTGAGTGACATCCGATGGATTTCGTAAACTGGATGCACCTGGGATTATTTAGGATCGAGAAGAACAAAACAGATGGGAAAGACGGTTTTCCAAATGGTTACCCAAGACTTTAGGGTACCGCACACTTCGCGGTAGCCCACACTGACGAAGGGGTTTTTCTTTGGGAACCCTAACCGGAGTCTTCGACTCGAAAGTCTGACCAACAAGGCAGTGGGGTGTAAATCCAACGTGGAAGCGTGAACCGAGCACCCGTGTCGGAGCTTCTGGAGACCTGTCACGCAAGTCCTTCGGATTTCGGTTAAGTTTGTCGTTTGCTCGTGCGTTGATTATCCGTCCGCTTTTCGGGATCGGCCCTTAGCCTCATGCACCCAAGGAGACAAGCGGAACGTGGACGGGGCAGCACCTTATTGGCTGGGGACTGCCCAGCTTGGGCGAGCAGTACCTGTCAAATAAAGTGCGAAGAATTCTCCTAAAATCGAGAGGGGGGTCTAGGTACCCCGCTCGTACATCCATCTAGTGAGGGGTTTTGACCGGTAGACTGCCTCTCATCGTGTTTATTTGCTGGAGTGACCTCTCCAGGAGCGGATGTGGATAGGAAGCCAGGTGTCAAGGCAGCTGGCATTGTGAAACTGATCTTCGTTAGGCCTCTACCCGTTGGACTTTCCGACATCATTGGATCTACGGATGTGAAAAGCCAACCTGTGTAGCTCGCAGGGTCATGGAGGCACGCAAGCCACCACCCCAAGTCAAGGTGCAATCTCTTCGTGATGAAACCCATTAAGAGCTTCACAGTCAACTGAATCGAAGGCTCCTTTTAGGTCAAGGAACACTGTGTGACGCAGTTCGAGGACTTGATGCACAGTGCAGAATTGGTCGATGCACCCACGAGCTGATCGGAATCCGGCTTGCTGTTCGCGGATATGTGCTTTGCACCTTCAAAGTGCAAAGTGATGCTGCAGAACTGGGTTTTGTCTACTCCTGCTCTGACACTAAATGGCCAGGATTTAGTTGTGGTGGGTTACTTTTCCTACTTAGTTAGTTGCGTGACCAATGATGGTAGCGCAGCAAAGGAGATAATCGCCCGCATTTCCAGGGCTCGAGCAGCATACGCAGGCCTGAAACACCTTT